TCCTTCTGTCTCTAATTATATTGGCTGTTCAATGTAAATATATATCAACTGCAAACTTGTAAATTTATAAGACTTTTACCTGTGTCCCTACTCTTAAAAATATGTCATCACTTTCTTTATTAACTTTCAGCTGTCAGACGTATAAAGCTTTTGACTCAACCCTGAATTCTTCTAACTCCTGCAACATATATTTTCCAAGTTTGTAAATCTATGTGCTGTCACCTCTGAACAGCTAGCATTTAACGTTTTCTAGCATTTTTTTCCAGAAACTGCTGGGGTGATTTATCTCTTTTAGTCTCCTAAAATCTAAACTTTTAACCTGTCCAAAATGGAGCGGCTTTTGGAAAAAACTGTCCCAACCTTGAATATGTTTAGTGAGTTTCTGCCTGCGTCGGTGTAGTTCTTCTCCAAAAATCTTGCATAAACTTTTGCTACGTCTTCAGAGCATGAGTTGTCTCTGTGCAAAGACAACAAAGAAGTGCTCTCCCCAAATGGTGTTATTCACTAGGCAAGGTGAGGATCTCAGGGAGGAAGTCTTCTCCAATTCCTGCTCTGATTCCTTCTCTCACAACACACAGTGGTTTTTTGAGTTTATTTTCCGTAGAACAGCCATCTTGATTTTTAATGTGATCTTCTGCTTTTTCCAGTGTAAATTGGTCTTTTCCCACTTCTAATTATATTGCTCAGATGCATGCATTATACATATGATGAGATTGGCCAAATCATACTTCCAGGCATCCTCTCCATGATTTGGTTGGTTTTAAGGGTGTGGGGTTTTTTTAACGTTTTAAGCCATATCAGAATACCTTCTGCCTCTTATGAAATGTTTTTATTTATACACACACAAGGTACACTTAGAGAGGAAAAGTGCTGTATAAACCATGTTAGATTCTTTTATTTTTCATATGAAAAGAAAAATGAGGACTCTGTCTTCAAAATCCATAAAATACATGTTTATTTATCCAAAAGCCTGGAGAGGCTCATTCTGTATCATTCCTGTCTCTTGAGTAAATATATTAGTCATTCTTAAGGAAAAAAGTATTATTGACTCAAGTGATTAGAAAAAGCTCTTTCAAAATCAGTTTAGCTAATAAAGTAAATTAATGCTTAAATGGCTGGAGGCAAAAAAGGAAAAGAAACACCAATCAAGCACAACTTATTTTGCATCCCTGATATGTGTGTAGGTATTAGAAATGTAGCTTTGTGGAACATATATTGAATAATTATGATTTGTACATATAAATAAATACTGCACACAAGTTACAGACAAATTCCAAAGGAAGGACATATCCAGGAGTGTCAAGCATCACTAGAAATGATCCTTATCTTCTGGCTTTACCTGAGTATAAAAGTTGAAAACCTTGTGCCAATTTTTGCACACATGAAGGAGGAAGTTGGGTTTGCGTTTGCTGGATTTTGGGGGGTTTGTTTTTTCTTCAGCTGGGGAAAGCATCTTCATTCTTCTAATTAGGTTCAGTGTTTTAGGGTAAGAAATGTTATATTTTTTTACATAACACAGCCTCATTGAACCAGGCACCATTTGTGTTGGACTCACAACACAGCATTATTCAAGTGTTCAAGAGGCTGATTTCCCCTACCTTCTTCAAACACCTTTAAGGTGGAATACATTTAGAGCTGTGAATTTTACCATTCACCCTTTAAGGCTGATGCTTGTTAATATGAAGTTATGTACTTTTTCAGAATTATTTTTTTCTGTTCATCACAGCATTGTTTAAGACTGAGATAATTGCTATATTGAATATTCCTGCCCTCTGTCAGTACACAGATAATAACGATGTAAATGCATTCACCCTTCTGCTTCTCATAGTTTAGCTGTAATTTTAGAACATAATTTTATGCATCTCTCTGGGAATTTCGGTTAGAAGAGGCAGCACCATGTGGTCTTTTGTAGGACTTGGGACTGCAGTGTTCTAAACATTGTCCCTACGTACCAACTAAAAGGTAATCCCCAAATAATTGACGTTGTTAAGATTCTATGGAAATAGTCCCATTACTGGCAACATGCAACACCCTTCAATTTGTGTATTGGTCTTAATTCATGCATCTGCACTACAGTATATCTTAGAAACCTGACCTTTTCACATAACTGTAGTAGCATCGTCAATGATTTGCATTATAAGTAGTCTGGAAAGATCTATGGAGCGCTGTTACACTAAAAGCATGAATCTGCCACATAGATGGAGGTTTTAACTGGCAGGAAAACATCAGAGTTGTGGGGAAACTTGAAAAATTATAGCAAGCAAATAGCAATGGCAGCAAGCTTGTAATTAGCGGAATTGTGAGCTAACGTTACCTTTTTTTTCCCAGCCCTGGGCACCTTCAGTTGCAAACCAAGTGAGAAGACATGTCTTCATGTCATTTATAAGTCTGTATTTTCTTTATTTATTAATATTTTTGTTTGACTGTCTTGACCTTCCCAGCTAAAAATCAAGTTTCACTGTCATCAGTGAATTTTCTGAGTAGAGCAAGGATATGAAGAGGATCTGTGGATCAAGGTGTCAATTTATGTTTGCAAACTTACTGTGAGATTATGTTACCTCCGTTATGTCTCTTTGTTCAACTTATGTTGTTATTTTAGCCCAAAAAAGGCCAAAGATCATCAACTAAAGTGCACGTAGAGTAAAGTTGCTCCTGTAAAATTGATGATCCGTCCAATTATTTATCTATAGAGGCTGCTGGGAAGAAATGCAACTATCTCAGTTCTCAGACCCCTCTGCTAGGTTGAACTTCATGGCTGAAGGTTTAATCCCTAAGTGTCATATCAACAATTCATTCTGTGATATTCTGGCTGACATGCTCTCCTTCCTTATTTATTGATGTCTTCAGTCATCGACAATGAGAGGAAAATACACTATTCGTCAAAGTGACGGTGTTTTACCCTCACTTACAGTTGATGCTGCTGTCACATTGATGGTTGGAAAATAAACTCAATCATTATAAAAAGCTAAGAGTGTGAACTTGCCAGTGACAGGAAGAAGATGAAAAAAAAACCCACAGTAACTTGCTTAAAATTGGTGTAATAAAAATAGAGCTGTTTCCTATAAAGATATTTTTGAGCTTTGTGAAATACCAAGCCATTTCAGCCATTTACTTTATAGTTATTCCTTTGAAGGAAAATCTGCTCCTCACACTCCTTTATGTCTGTGCAAACATACATATAATTTTTAGCAATAAATATTTGTTATCATTCCACCTCATGCTACTTGGTTAGTAATTTGTTGATTTTTTTCCTCTCTATTTTTAAGGGATTTTGCTTTGTTTTTTCTCCCCCAGATTACATTGAATGCATGTATCTCTTTGTGTATTACAGTATTTTGAGTGCTTTGATGAGGAATAAGCTCAGCATAGTTTCATCCAGTAAGTCCTTTGACATGCAAACATAGGCAAAGCTCTCTTGAATCACTTGCTTAGGCTACCATTTGCGTAGCTGTACTGCACCTTACAGCATTTTAACTCAATAACCACATATCTTACCACATTTCACCTTTGGGAGGCATTGTATATACAGCTAAAAGTAAAGAGCAGCAAGCCAAGAGGGACAAGATAGCATAATGAGGATGTCAATTTGTGGTCAGATATCTGAGGAAATATTTATCTTACTTGTACTGTACTTGGCAACAGATAGAGAAATATATAAGTAATGAATTTCCTTAGCCTTTATCTGGCAGAGTGTGTACTTTCTATTAAATAGATTTAGGGGAAAAATATCTCTTGTCTCAAATTTGTAAAGTTCGGGTTGATTCTACTTTGGATTGTTTCCTGAAAACGGACTGTATCTATGAAAAAAAATAAGAATAGTCATGTTTGCTCTACTAACATATTGGTGAATTTTTAATGATTAATTTTCTAGACACTCCCCACATAATGATATTTTAACATCTCACTCTTTCATCAGAGCAAAAGCAAGGCGTGATTTTTGTTGTTTATGAAAAAAAAAATCATGATTTTGTTATTTCACTCAGTTTTGGTGCCTATCTCTGGCAAGGCAGCTAAGTAGCCTAAATGAATGTGCACAGAAATGCTGGCTGTCTCACACATGCTGTGTGTCCTGAGGCAAGCTACAGCTGCTACAGCTGCTGGGGTCTCTTTCCCCATCTGTAAAATGGGAATGATTTAACTTCTTTTTCTCCTTCAGGGAAATACAGAGAAATACAGTTTCTTAATGTTTCTATAGAGCTTTGAAGATTAAAATCTCTTCTCTATACTTGCTGCTAATATTTCAGTGTGAGAGGAACATTTGACCGAAGCTGTTTGGAGAGTAAAGTTTTGGTGCCTTGTGTTGTCTTTGTACCATATCTTGTGGCCTCCCCGCTATAATTTTGCAACCTTTTGTTCAGCATAAGCTGTGGAAGCAAATAACCCCTATGGAAATAATGGTGATGGCAATAAATTAATGTATATGTCTGCTGTTAAAAACATCAGGAGATCCATGTCTCTGAGCTTGCCAAAAATAGTCCATGATGGAGCAAAATAGACACCAGTAACTGGGCTTAGCCTGAAATAGTTTTTATTTAAGCATCAGTGGTAAACACTCAGAGGCATTGATAGTGGATGTCTTCTAGTGGCTTTAGAGGTGTAAGGATGGCTGATATTTTAGCAAAGGCTTCCTGACTTCCATTCTAAGACAAGAAGTGGGCTTGAGGAGCATGTGGGAAGCATGAACACCCAGTACTTAGGGCGATTCTGGAGGTCTTCTTGCCTTTGTTTCACAGCCCAAAGGTCAGCCTTGGTTCCCAGGGCCTACACAACCTCGAGAGATTGCAAGGTGACAGCTTCTGATTTGGTTGCTACTTCTTCAGTTTTACATTGCTTGAAAAACTTAACATTTACTATAATGATGTCTTCCTCTTTGCAGTTAGGAGAAGTGATTAGGCTACCACATGTATTAAATGCTGTTGTTACTATCTAACCTGGCATTTTGAGGCCTTACAGTCACAAGCTATACTTTTCCTAATTTACATTTTGATTTTTTAATGCAGAGCAGATTGGACAGGAGATGCTGGAAAACCTCAGCCATGACAGAGAGAAGATCCAGCGTGCTCGGGAAAGGGTAAGTTTGATAATAAGTAATTGCTGGTCTCGGATTTTATGTTTTGGGCAAGTTCTCTGTGCATACAAAAATAATCTAGCATATTCATCAGTTTTATATAAATCAGCTGCTGTCGTGAGATATAATCACCATTTGCAGTGAAGCACTTAAACAATGTCTAATATGAGCCCAATCCTGCAAAGCTTCTCCTACAGGGAATCATCCTGAAGTCACCAAACCCACTGTTGGAAGCAAGCTTTTTTGTCACATCATAGTTAAGTCAGGTTTCTGTATTTCAGCGTCCATTGCAGTGACTTCTCGGATTTTCAGTGAAACAAAGTTCATTATCATGACTTAGCTCCTAATAGTTGAGCAATCTCATTCTTTGTAGCTACAAATGCTAATAATTACCTCCTCAGGCAATTCTGTGCGAAAGAACAGGTAGTGGTTTATTACACTGCTACTCCATCACTGCAGTCAAGATAATATATCGGTGTCATTTTTTTGGCATCTGTTGCCTCCATAGGCATCAGCTCTACTCTGTAGAGTTAAAGATGCTGAGAAGGCCAGTCCACCCAACGCATACAACTTCTATGAATTCCAGTTTAAGAAATTTGGCTCCTTGGTTCTGATTTCTGCTCACAGAACCAGGGGTGACTGCACCAATGACTTTCTGTCCATGACACGTTGATCAGATACCTTCAGAGTGTCCAGATTTGCCAAAGCTAAATTCTCCTACAGGCCTCTAGCTGGCCAAGGCCACTTAAGAAAACTCCTGTATCTGTCCCAGGGAGCTTCATCACCTGGATAACTTTGATTGGTAAAACCTCATAGGATGGCTTTATCAAGGCATTTACAGTTGCTTTCTGAAGTCCTGGGCATTATCTACTTTAAAACAATAAGTATAACTAAATCATTAAATGTAACTAAGGATTGTGAATGTTTACCAACTGTTGTTCAGGCAACTTTATTTGTGTCCTATTTAATCTCCGCTCCTCAAATCCCTAGTGACTGCTGAGTCTGAGGTGCTTTTCTGTTTCTAGCTGGACAAGTAAAACCTAGGCAGTGGAGATGAATAACATGTTTCCTTTTCTGCTGATCCTAAAAATCCTCGGGAAAGAGGGAGTGTATTTCTGATGACTCCGTACACATCATTTGTTGCATAACTTTTCTGTGCTTTCCACCTGAAGAGCAAATTCTTTTGATGCAGGGAGTGAGATTAAAAATAAAGGTATTCTAGGAAGGCATTTCCCATCACAGTTCAGTGGAAGACCTCAAATTCCAAGTTTTTATCATATGCCACTTAAAATATTTTTATTAGGGAATTTGGAAAAATTCTTCATTGGAGCCACATGAGTGTGTCTGTCCCAGCTGTCTGTATACTCAGATGTACAGTCAGGGATGATCTTGGATAACTGGGCAAGTTTTCCATTTTGTGGAAACTTTTTAAAGACCAGGATAGAGGGTGCTCTATTGATGCATAATAGCTTTACACTCAATACATGGCATTACTGTCTTATCAACCAGGGAACAACGTTGTCTTCTGGAAGTCAAACATCAACTTGAGTATGATGGTCGGGTCTTACCAGTTTAATGTTGTGAAAATTAGAAAGATTTTCTTATGAGCAAAATTTTAATGAGTTAGTGTCTCTCTAGTTTGTTTACACATATGAGTTTTTCTGTCTGCAGTGTAAAATGTTAGAATGAAGAAAAATGCAAGATGTAGCTACTATCATTTTGAATAAATGAGCATGAAGTAGTGCAAAATACATATGTGAAGAGGAATTACCTAAACTACTTCTCTTTAAGCCAAAAAGAAGGGGTGAAAGCTCTGCTACAAGAGTCAGATAGGTTAACTGGAATATAAAGGACTCTAACATGGAACAATTTTTAGGAAGATCTCAAATTAAAATGTGTCTAAGGCAGACAAGATATCAACATCAGCATCTTGTTCGTCTTCCTTCCTTTCTCATTATTATTCTTAATAATATTTTTTAAAAGCTTTCTTAAGTACAGGGTAGATTTGCCAGTGCTAATATCCACACATCTCCACAATGTTTTCACTACAGCAGTTCTGCAAAACAAGGAAGTTCAATCATATGCCATTTCACAGGTTTGCATTCCACCAGTTCTTTGGCTTCTGCAGTGTGCTGGTACTGGTAAAGAACTGGTGGAAGACACACCATCAGTTTTTTCAGTTTTAAATAAAAACAAACTTACAGTTTGAAACTCTTTATGTTGTTTTTTTCTGCCAATGCAGGAAGAAAAGGTGTTTTTTTAGTGTTCTCTTGGGAGGTAGCTAGAGATCTTCCATCTCTGTGTGTACGTATTTGTTTGTTTCTTAACATTTCTTTTGCTTATTTTGTGGGGTTTTTTATTATCATAAAAATAGGAGGTCGTTTTGCTTAGAGGAGTTTGTCAAACCTCTAAGACTCAGCGTCCCCTTCCTAACTATCAGCACTGATTCTAGCTGTCAGGTAGAATCCTGCAGCAAGAGAGGAAAGTTAGGATCAAACATATAATGGTAAAAAGGAGAGAGCTACTTTTCTGTGAAAAGGGAGGAGAAGCCCCAAGTGTTAAATGCATCTTTATGAATAATAAAAGACCAATGAAAAGCATACATTTGTACTTCAGATTCCCTTCTAGCATAGATAAGAACTTGGCTTTTTAATGAGCCTTTTAAAAATTATTGTGACGTTTTTTTCTTCTGTTGCTTGTGTCAAACTGGGCTAAACTGCTTTTCTGGAGCTTGAATTGTCTAGATGAATCAGGAAAAAATGAGGGAATGGCCTCCCTGGAATTTAATGCTCATCTTTGTTCCATCATGGCACATAATTACAGAGATCTGAGAGCTGGTGCGAGCCTTCCCACTGAACGTGATATTGCTCAGAGCAAGTCTTGGTTGGTGTTATCCAGTCCCAGCTTCTCTTTGGTATTTTCTTAATACCTTTTACAAGAACAAGGAGGAAATTCATGCAAAAAGGTTGTGTCATTGATTGCAACTACTGATTTCAGTAATAAGCATTAAATCTGGTAGCAAATATTTACAGTATTGGGCTCCAGAATAGAAGCTGGATTTAATATTGCTGCCGTGCATGTATTCAAGGTATAATAGTGGCTTGTTATGGTGAAGGTGATTTGTTATTGGAAGGCTGCCACTTTTCTTGGCAGTGCTACTGTTTTGATGGATTTATAACACAGGATGCATTTTGTCTTCTCCAACAAAGTTGCTTTAGTAAGAAGTCAATAAGTCAGGTAATCCTTTCCATCTGATTTGATAATGAAGAGGTAAATATTCAGCTTTCATAAGGAGCCGAATGTTTTTATGTATGTACACACAGCTGTGTTTTGGGGCGTGTTTGAAACAGTGGGCTCTGCTATTTCATAACTGACAATCATTACATTATTGTTTACAGTAGATTTTGATGTCCCACTGGTTCCAAGATCTCTAAAGATGTCCCAAGATGTCTCTCCATTAGCAAAAGAGGAGAGTAACTCAATTCTTCCTGTACACCTCCTCATTTCTAGACTTCCTTTTCGGGGACACGAATAAACACAAAATCAGAGGGGAGGTTTTAATCCCTTCTAAGGAACAATAGAAGCAATTGTTCTTTCATATGAAGTTCATTTGCTTCATAAATTTTCATCTCCACAATTTCATTTTTTATTCAGTTGTGCTTTTACCTATTTTGCAAATTTTTTGAGAGCTGCAGAACAAGCCTGCTAATTAAGTTTAGGTACAAATGAAGGCTTCCTCTGTCCTAATAAACTACCAAAATGCTATTTTCAGTGAGTGAGTGATCCTTACATGCAAAAATATATATTACACAACTCTGCCTTGTGTACATACTATATTCTGTTCAAAAAGTATTTGAGCATCCATCCCAGTGGTGCCTGCTGTAAGATCAGCCCAAGTTTTGTATTTAAGGGGCAATATAGGCATATTCCTTTTATACAGGACACTGTTTTGTATTTCTACTTTTTCTTTAAACTACTGTCTTTGAAAAACACTGGAAGAAAGAGGTGTTTGTTTTTCTTTTCATAAAGCATCAGGAACACAGCGTATGGCTGTCTCTTCATCCCTTGATGCCCTCACTAATATACATAACCAATACACATACACACATCAATGGGAGTTATAGATACCGATTTATATAGCTTCTACCTGCAACCCTTTATTTGTAAAGCTTTTGCTCTTTATCCTGGTTCATCTTTGTTGCCTCAATGTCTTATCTTCTGTGGGTTTCATCTTCATGTAAGTGAAAACCAGACAAAACATTTTTAAATTTCAGAGCTTCGGTGTCCTTTTTACACGTGAGTTTGTTGTGGGCTAAATCTGAAGTTGATTGACTCAAATGACAGTAGAAATATTTATCCTTTGTACAGAATGGAGTACATGTGCCTTTTGCCTTTAATGGGTCTCTTTTCTCCCCAGCTTAGAGAAACAGATGCAAACCTGGGGAAGAGTTCCAGGATTTTGACGGGAATGTTGCGAAGGTAAGGCCAAGGTAGGGACACTTCTGCTCTTTCTTTTTTTCCTCTCTCCCTCCCTGCCTTTTTTTTTTTTAGTTTTAATTCAACGTCGGCATTTTGCTGACTTACCTGACTTTTTTAGCACAGGCTGTTATGTAGAATGTCTTCAAATGAAGGCTGGTGGTGAAGCAGGCATGGTTAGATAGAAGGCTTTGCCACAGCCACGGAAAGAGCTTTTTGTAGCCTGAGGGATTACCCCTTGCTCAATCATTTCTCATCTTTGTTTCTTTGTTTGTTGTTTTGTTTTTTTTTTTTCTGTATGTGTGTTCTAAAATTAAGCTCCTTGATGATGATTTCCTGTGTTCCTTTTTCTTGCGGGATATTGGTTTTTTGAGGTTTTTTTACCTATTGGATTTTATGTGAGAAAGTTTGTAAATGTTTTGAGGCTATTTAAATGTGCACACAGAGGAAAGGTTAGGAGGATCGATTCTGTCTGAATAGACATGGCAGACACATTGTCAATCCTTGTGGTTTTAGCATGTTTTGTCCATGCTTTCAAAGTTATGAATATTGTCCCAGGGATCAAAGTGAGGTGACAGAGACTGGTAAAATTTGCAACATCCTAAAAAATATGTGAGGGGCTGCAAGATGGAGTTCCCCAGTGATTACTAGCCACCTTAAATTTACATCAGTAACTTCCCAGACAGATCTTTTGAATTAGTGGCATCTCTGGATATGTGTTCTTTACCCAGTGAAACAGCACCTCAGCTTCTCTGTGATGCCCATATGTCTATATATATTCAGCTTCCTGAAGAAGTAAAGCATCCCTCTGATAGGTGGTGCTGGGTGCTATGAAAACACAGTTTTGAAGGAGTTTAGAGCATCCTCTGAAGTGTTTAGTAGGAAATTCCCCTTGCCATGGGCTTTTATGTTGCACATTTGCTTAATGCAACTGCAACTTGCTTATTGAAAAAAAAAAATAGAAGAGAAAGTTTTAGGAGAGTTTTTGATTTGTCACTTGGCTTGGAAAAAAACAAAACCAGAATTTATTAAGCTGTTCTGTAGTGCAAGCTTTATCTCTTCATAAGTCTCCTCAGAAAAATATCTTTGTTAGTTCCTTGTATACCCAGTTGACAAAGGTTAAAATGACTGAACCTCATTCCATAGATTTCTTACAATTCCAACTCCAAACTGTAACACATAAAATTCTCTGATTAAGAGTAATATGTAAATGACACAAGCTAAATTCAAAATCCATGGAGAAAGAAAGTGGCAATTGAAAGGGATGGTTCAGTGCCTGTAGACAATCAAAATAAACTATAAAAAAAATGAACGAGAGAAAAGACACAACCAAACCCAAGTCTCCCCAGGAAGGGCTCTGCGACATGAGCTGTAACGAATATTCTGCATATGTCTCCATTTTGTCAAATCTCATTAAAGGGGTTTCTTGCTTTATGTCAATTGAGCTGTCCAAAAATCATTCATCATTTTAGTGTAAAAAAAAATCATGCAGTTATTTAAATAATATCATATTAATGTTAAAGTTCAGCTGTCATTTAATAGTATGGCTTAATCAGACATAGCATTTAGGAAAAATAGTTTTTTCGGGCTTTACTTGGCTTTCAGGTTGGCAGATTCAAATAAGGATTTATGGGTTTCTAAACCAATGTATTCTTTCCATGTTTATGCTTGAGGTACCTCAGCCTTTTTTGCAGCACCCTGTAGTCTGTTATTTTCAATAAAATAAAGTATCTCCTCATATTGTGTTTGAATACATTTGCAAGTAATTTAGAGAAGCTGAAACAAAAACATATGCTGTAACCTTTGACTTTGTTTTGTGTTTGGGAATCACAGTTAGGAGTCCTAGTTTATAAGTGTTCCATAAGCCAAATGAAAAATATGATCTTTCTGAAATATGCTTGAGCTCTTCTTTCCAGACAAAAGGATTATGTAGTCGAACACCAAGATGGCATGTTTCTCTGTGTCAGAAAGGCACTGGATTTCCTTTAACAAAAATGCTGAGATGAGTCACCCATCTGGATGAAAGGCAGGTTAAGATTTAAGCTCAGTTCAGGTAAATGTGCCAAAAGAAGTGCTTCAGCAGAGATGCAGCTTGCAGTAGAAGATTCTTGGGACGTTATTTAAAAACACATAATAGATGTGAAAACAAGTAATTTGTTCATGACTGTTGGGTAGAAGGATCTAGCATTATCCCAGCTTCAGCATCATCCAAATGTTGTTTAGTCACAAGAATAATCATAAAATTCAGACCCCCAGAAATCAGCACAAATTAGATAAATACAACTGTAAGAAAAATAATTAGGACAGGTTGGCAGTTGTGTCCTAATTTCTGCATACTTCAGTACATACCACACAATGTTTCACTTAATTGCTGGAACCAATAAAGAAAAACACTGGAGAACTATTCTTCACATCATTATTATATGGAAAAGCTAATGTTAAACTGAACATTGCTCGACTGAGTTGCTGCTCCCACAATATGTATTTGCTGATATGCTTGATGTCATATGCCAGGCTAACACCCGGTGCATCAAATTAATGCCTAACTATTTCTATTTTTACCAACTCAGAAAGGTAAAGCAGCATCTCTTCTGAATCTGGCCAAATATATTAAGAGATTAGATATTTAGATAGCTAGCGAGCTAAATTTCTCCCTTTGTATGACCTAAATTCCCTGGCCATATATTTGTGCATAAAATGTTCTGGAGATGGGGAATAAAAGCAGGGACAGGTTTTGTAAGTGCCATAGCTGATTAAGAAAATCAGTGGCAGAACAGGGGGAGGTCTTCCTATCCCAGCAATTTACAGTAGCCAGTCTTATGCATTGGAATTTTTTATCTTCCAGTATTTGAGATTTTGCGGTAAGGAAATTTTTGTTGTAAATGTTTTAAATATTCTCACTTTGAAATGACCTATATATTCATCATACTCTTTTTTTTTTCTGTAAATAAACCTACTGAGATTCCACTAAACTAGTATATTCTGCTTACAGCATTGCATTACTAGGATAATATACGCAAGTTCATAATATCAAAACATTTATCATTTCCTTTTACATGTATCTATAGCTCTGAACAACCTGACATTTTATGACTGCTCTTTAAAAGTGTGAGACTATAACAGAATCTCAGCATCGTTTCAGTTACAGAATTTGCAAACAATAGGTTTTACTATAAGGAAATGTTATCTTCTGTGGTCATTTGCAATACTGCCATCTCAGACATCTGTCCCTTGGCCTCTACCCCAGTGTGAGTTGGGGAGCACACAGTGTGTCAGAAAGAAGCAGAAAAGAATATGCTCTGAAAGATCTTCAGTCTTTTCCCCATATCCTAAGCCAATAGCCTAGAAAAGCTTTTAAGAAAAGAATTTGGACAGTCTCCAAGCCACACACGGCCCAGTTGGAAACAAACAGACCTAAAAGTAACCAGATAAAAAAATCAGTACATTTGAATATTTATCCAATTAGTAAATAAATTCTATCTATCCTCCTCCAAATTGCAGAAAAATATTATAGAAAAATAGCTACCCTCCAGAAGAATGTTTTATTCTGTCAGGAAATTTTTATGCCAAAAAATTATCTTTTAATCTTCAGATTTCAATGAACACATCTGCTCTTATAAAAGACACTTTTACATGTTGATTTCCAGTAGGGCAAACACACGGGCTCCAGTTGATGGGAATGAAGCAGTAAGGGTTCAGCTCTCAGGTGCTAAGTTAAGTGACTTTCCAACAGCTGTGTGGCCAATGTGACTACAATCAGAAAGAGGGAACACCTCCCCCTCTCTCCTAGTTGTGGGCAAGCTTCTTCACTCTTCTTTCCAGGAAAGATCTCATCACCCTGCTACTTGCATTACCTTTAGTCAAACTTCCTTGTGCTTTTGAACTCCAGGATAGTCCAGTTGTACTAAACCATGACTATTGATTCTTTGCAGTTTTCTGGAGGAAGGTCTTTGTATCACAGATACTGAGTGAAGTTTAACATACAGTTGGATTTGCCTTGTTTTCATGCTAATAGAGGAATTCCTCTTTCCAGCAGGAACTTTGCATATTTGGTCTCAAGCCAAAAGAAATTGTTTCGGCAACTTTTTGGTACACGTATTTCTATTTTTACTTCAAGATGTATTTCCACACTGAAAAATGATTGAATTGACAAATCCTTTAGCAACGTGTCTGCTCCATGTTGAATATTTACAGCTGCAGCTGTTTCCTTCAGTAATTTAGACCTTGATTCAGGAACATATTTAATCATATGGTTAACTTAAACCAGAGGAGCAATTCCCTTAACGTGAGGGAGACTGAATAAGGGGGGAGTGAGTGGCAGAATGATTCCGGGTCATCTCTTGGGGCAGCATAGCTTTTATTGTGCTCCTTGCTCAAGGCTGAGTTCAGAGCAAACCCTCTCCCTAATATTTCTGTTGTTAAACGGAAACCATAAAATACACATAGGGTGTTTTAGTGCTTGTTACTGTCAGTATAAGCATTTTTTTTTTTTTAATTTCCTGACATTTAAGCATTTAATATAGTTACTTGATTCTTATATTATTGTATGTGTTTGTGTTTTAATATGCAACTAATCTTAATCAGTTTTGCAGTGTTGAATCTTTTCAGAAGGAAACTGATAAGCTTTGTGGTGCCGTTAATCACAAGATAGTCTTTGGATAAGGAACATAGAACTTGTTATTCTGGATTAAACCTTGGCATTAATTAGTACCTGGTCATTCCTCACTTTGCCTTTAAAAAGAAACTTTCTTTCTTTGTTGAAGTGATGGTAAAACATGTGGAAAACGTAAATGTAGCGTCAGCAAAATTCCCAAGGGTGAAGCATTCTTCTCATTAGGAGTCCAACCAAAAAACAGGAAACGTACCCCTGGGTCTGAACTGCAAGAATTTTAAAATAGTATGGGACACTGTAGGTTCCCTGTTCTTAATTTAGGTATGATGTAATCTGATGTATGTAAGATGCATTTTTGTTTTTAATAATCAATTGAGAGCCATTTTATAAACCCTGCTCGTC